AGGCACACAGTGAGGAGGAGGAGGAGGAGGCACACACAGTGGGGAGGAGGAGGAGGAGGCACACACAGTGAGGAGGAGGAGGAGGAGGCACACACTGTGGGGAGGAGGAGGCACACAGTGAGGAGGAGGAGGAGGAGGCACACACTGTGGGGAGGAGGAGGCACACACAGTGAGGAGGAGGAGGCACACAGTGGGGAGGAGGAGGAGGAGGAGGCACACAGTGGGGAGGAGGCGCACACAGAGGAGCTGCTTTCTCCTCCCAGGGACTCTGGAGCAGCTTGGAAATTAGGAGGGGAGAAGAAGCAGCTAAATGTGCCAGATATGTTTAAACCTTTCTTGGGAGACTAAAGCCCCTTCCTTCCTGAGCTCTGCCCATTACTTTGCTAAAGAGTCAGCAGAAGGCAGCTCTCTGAAGAGCCGCCGTGCCATGTCTAGTGCTGTGGACCCTGTATAGACAGACAGACATCACACACAGACACCTTTGACTTTTGACGCTGGATATAGTCATTATTCAGCCAAGTACAAACTCAATCTCCTTTTAGATCCATTAAACCTCTTATTCTAGGCAGATCAAGAAATCAAGTTGATATTTAAAAAGTGTTTTTGCCAAGTCTAGCATAGGAGTATTTCCAAAGACTTGAAAAGAATTTGGTATTTGTGTTCCTTAACTATAAGTAAATCACCATCACAAAGTGAGAGTCCATTTCAGCTGATAATGTCTGAAGTAAGAAGAAGCCATGTGGAAGATTGGAAGCTTGGTAAAATTATTGCCATTTAGTTGGCTAGATTTGATGTAATCAAATTATTTTAAATAAAAAGATAACTCCAGTCAGTCTTATCATCTTTAAACAACCTTTTCATAAATGCTTTTTGTTGACCCAGATGTGGTTTTATATAGTTCCTTTCACAGTGCTTATACCATTTACGGTGTTTTTCTGGTCTAACATACTCGAACATCTGTGTGCTGCTACACTGTCCTTTTAAAGACTAGACAGTATTCTGTTTTAATACACTGTCACTTCATCTTTTGTTGAGATTTAGCTAGTTACATTTTTACATAGTAATTATTTGCTTCTGGACAATTTTCTAAGTATTAGAGAGTCACAGCAAAGGAATGTTTTCAGGTTTTTCTCTTTTTATCTTGTTTTCTGAGAGTTGTACCAGTTAATACTGTGAATAACTGTGGTGAGTACTGTAGCCAAATTGTTTTTAACGATCGTTTCTCTTCCAGACAAAGAATGCTGTTGAAAAGTTTGCTGATGCTGAAAGAAACCTATTACAAGCCGAGTCAGATGCTGAGGCGCTAGAGAAGAGAGCCCAAGAGACTGCGCTTAACCTCGTGAAAGCTGAGCAGCAGCTGAGGTGAGTGGACCCGGGCCGCTGAGGGCTGAGGTGCACAGAGTAATGGTTGATGCATGCTAAGCCTGAAGGACCGGGGCATACATATTCCGTTGTAGATTGCTCCAGGCTGATGCAGAGGACTTGGAGCAGCACAAAATCAAACAAGAAGAAATCTTGAAAGAAATAAACAGAGTTATAGCAGCCAAAGATGCAGATTTCCAGTGTCTGAGCCAGAAGAAGGAGAAACTGACAGAAGAGTAAGTAAAGGCCTCTGGGGGCTGCGCTGGGGGGCTGCAGCAGCTGTGGGCATCAGGCTCCTTTCGAGGCTGCTCAAGTGCTGCCCTGCTTTGTAGGCTCCAGAGTCTGCAGACAGACATTGAGACAGCGGAGCACAATGAGGATCACCACCTCCAGGTCCTTAAAGAGTCTGAGACTCTCCTTCAGGCCAAGAGAACTGAACTGGAAACGCTGAAAAGCCAGGTATGGCTAGACCCTCGGAAAAGACTGTTTAAGATGTATTTCTTCTTGAGGGTTGCTGGATAAGGTTTATTTGATTGTAGAAAAGATGGAAAAGTATTAAGAATGTGTACATCCTGGAGTCACACTTCCCGGCTCTCCCCTTTCAGGTGACAAGCCAGCAGCAGGAGCTGGCTGTCCTAGACACTCAGTTGGGGCATAGAAGGGAAGAGCTGCTCCTACTCCAGGACAGCCTGGTCCAGGCAAAAGCTGACCTCCAGGAAGCCCTGACACTGGGCGAGACAGAAGTCGCTGAGAAGTGCAGTCACATCAGGGTATGTTGGGCAGTAGGCTTTCTTAGAAGTCCTCGGCAGTGCTGTAAGTTTATTTTGAAGTTTTTCCCTGGTTCTTCCCAAATGGACATAGAAATGCCTCCTCTATAGTGCTGTTAGTTAATGTGTTGGTGATGAGGCAATCAGGTAGCATCTGGATATACTCTGGGTTCTCTTGTTTCTTGGCTTTCTCATGTCTTTCCTGTCCAGGAGTGCCCTTATCCCAGTCACAGGCTACATCCCATTCTGCCTGTTTCTCATAGCTCAGCCAAATGCAATCTCCCGGTTTTTTTCAGTTGCTCTTAAGGAGTTTCTTTCTCATGCATCTGATAGCAGCTGCTTGTCTACCGAGCATCTCAGACTGTGATTATGTCTGTGCCCCTAGCCTTCTGCCCTGACAGTCCTGTGACTGGGAGAAGCCTTTGCTTGGGGTAATGGCACAAACACATTTTCATGAACATGTTACTTTTTTCTATCACACAGTAGATATTAGTGCAAAATATAGTGCTGTTCTTGGTACCAAAGGCAAAAATTGCTATAAACTAAATTACAAATTAGATATGAGATAAAATAATAACAGAACTGACTCCTGTGAAAGGAATGCCAATTCTTAATTTCACAGAGGAGATGGCTTTTATTTAAACACAGGAAGTAAAATCACTTCTGGAAGAGCTGAGTTTTCAGAAAGGAGAACTGAATGTCCACATCAGTGAAAAGAAGACTCAGCTCGCACTTATAAAGCAGGAGATGGAGAAAGAGGAAGAAAATCTTCAGGTAGTTTTACAGCAGCTGTCAAAACATAAGACTGGTGAGTTTAAAGAGCAAGTCTCAAAGTGTGAGGCTGGGGACATCTGACTGCAGGCCACAGAAAAGCACATCTGGCCAGAGTCACATCTTCTGGATTGTATAAGCTCACTGATAAGCAAGAGGAGCAAGTTATAAAAGAAACATTAGTTTGTTAAGGTTGATTTAAAGCAAAATAACCATATTGGTGGCAGATTAGCATATGCCGATGGAAGGAAGGACTCTTAGAGCTGATGAAGTGTAACTGAGACAGTTTTAAGACTCCAAATATTCAGACTTGTAAAACCAATTTTGTGGGGTATTTGATCACACATGAAACCCAAAGCTGTGTTAATAAAGTCAGCCTTGGATCAGTTGACAGGAATTAACCATAGAGAGTACAGAGGACCCAGGAAGATGGATAGAAAGACACACAGGAAGGAGTAGGGAGGGACTTGAGTTTCATGGTATTTTTTATTTGGGACGTCTGAAGAGAGGCTTTCTTGCTGGATCTCTGGCCAAAAAGGAGAGTCAGTTGGTTGCTTCTCAGCCTCTCTTAGCTAGCAGGTTTTCACCCCAACATCTGACTCCAGAGTCTTTATTGGTAAATAGAACAGTAGAGACTTAGTTAAAAACTACATTTGGCTACCACGGTTGAGCCGGTGCTGGCGGGACTGGAAATCCTGCCAGGCCTCAGGGCTGCAGGGCCACAGATGGTAGTTAAAATCTCAGTAGATTCCGGTGCTGCCACTAAGCTGACAAAAAACAACAAACTCAAGTGTCCATTTCTACTCATCCAGAGAGAGCCAACCTTTATGTGTATGGACCACAGCAAGATTTCTAATTACAAAACTGGGAGGAAAAGGCTTATGTTTAATATTTAATGACATGTAAAAATAGAATGAAAACTGTAGGTGAATGGTGACTATGGAATATAGCCCAGTTATTTATTTATTTATTTATTTATTTATTTATTTATTTATTTATTTATTTATTTATTTATTTATTATGTTTCCATCGTGTTTTATTTTATGTGAGTATAGTGTAGTCACATGTGTGTGCATGCCTATGTGTGTACACAGCCCAGAGGAGGACATCTGGGTCACTCTCTGTCTTTCCTTGAGACAAGGACTCTCACTAAACCTGGTCCCAGGGATCCTCCTGACTCTGCATCCCACCCTACCCCGCACATACACACAGAGAACACTACAGTTATAGGTGCACAGCCACACCACAGCCACACACCAGTCCTTAGACCTGCATAGCAAATGAGTTTACCTGCAGTGTGCGGGAAACCTGTCTGGGCAGTGAGGGATGGGAGGAAGCAGATAGGCATACATGCACACAGACAGTGGGGATCAGGTGAGCTATACTCATGCTGCCAGAGCAGCACCAGCGTGGGGTTGGGGTCCCGTCTCAGTAGGAAGTCTCTCGGGCTGTAAGTATCTGGGAGGAGGGAGCTGCACTGGCTAGTCTGTGCACACACTGTCCGTGTTCGTGAGCTAAGGGAAGGGAGGCTTTGCCCAGTCAAGCTGGCTTCCACCTGAGGACTGGGGATTCCTGGGAATTTTAGGTAATTACCATTGACTATGGGTCTGAGGCCATGCCGTGTCAAACAAAGTGTACTGAAATAAAACACCCCAAAATGCTGGTGTAGTAGTCATCTTCTGAATTATTTTATTGCACTGTTTTGTTGATTGTGTATGTGCATGTGAGGAACAGTGTGGAAGTCAGGACAACTTTTGGGGCGTTGGTTCTTTCCGCCATGTGGGTCCCTCTATTGATCTCAGGCCACCAGCTTGGTGGTAAGAGCCGTGTCACCAGCCCTTTTAGAGATTTCTTTATTGCATTCATTAGTGCTTATCATTTGACTGTTGGGCTTCTGATATTTACTTTCCAGATTGTCCCCAAAGAACAAATACCTGTATTTTCAAGTTTTTCCTATTTTAATTAATATTTTTTCATATGAAATGTACTTAGCTCATTCTATGTGGATATAAATGCTCCTAGAATCAGAATTTTATTAAATGTTTTTAACAAATTAGTGTTGTTTTTTGGTTGGTTGGTTGGGTTTTTTTTTTTGTTTGTTTGTTTGTTTGTTTGCGGGGGAGTAGTGGGTTCCAGACAGGATTTCTCTAAGTAACAGCCCTGGCTATTGTGGAACTCATTCTATAGACCAGGCTGCCCTCGAACTCACATCCACCTGCCTCTACCTCCCAAGTGCTGGGATTAAAGGTATGCACCACTACCACCCAGCTAAAAATTAGCGTTTTTAACACTACATTCAAAAATATTTTTCCTTTACAAATAAAATCAACATTTAGGCAGTTCAACATAATTGTGTTTCTGTGTCAGTCAACAAGGAGTCACAGTCTGTCCTGTTCTGTTCTGTCTCCTGGTTCTCTTACTAGCACTGACCCTGCTTTGTCTCTTTCAGAACTAAAGAATGTTGCAGACATACTGCAGCTTGAAAACAGTGCGCTCCAAGGTCTGAAGCTACAGCATGACCAAAAGGTGACGGAGCTGGAGAAGACGCAGGTGGATGTGTTGGAGGTACTGAGGAAAGCCTGTGCCTTTGCCCACAGCCTTTCTCCTCAGGGTTCTGAAGTCTCTCCTGTCTGACTCAGGAGAAGCTGGAACTGGAGAATTTGCAGCAGACAGCTCAGCAGCAGAGCAGGGAAATTGAGTGGCAGAAGCAGCTCCTGGAGAGGGACAAGCGGGACCTGGATCGAGTGAGGGCCGAGACGCAGGCACTGCAGTCATGCATGGAGTGTTTGACTCAAGAAAAGGAAGACCTCCGAGAGCAGTGTGAGACTTGGGAACAGAAGTCTTCACAGGCCAAAAGGTAAGAAAGCTGCTCTAGTGCTCTGTGTCTGCAATCCCGGTACCGAGGAAGCTGAGGCAGGAGCATTGCTGTGGATATGTGGCCACCATGGCCTACATAGCAGGTTCCAATTACCAGTGCTGTTTAGTAAGATCCTGTCTCAAAACAGTAGCAAAAGCTAAGTGCACGCCTTTAATCCCAGCACTTGGAAGGCAGAGGCAGGTGGATCTCTGTGAGTTCAAGGCCGGCCTGGGCTACAGAGTGAGTTCCAGGAAAGGTGCAAAACTACACTATTTTGCCTGGGGTTGGACAGTAAAGCTTGCCTTTCAAGCATGAGGACTTGAGTTCAGTCTCAGAGCCCATGTTAAAAGCAGAAACAGCCCGACAGGAAAACCCACACTTGTAATCCCAGCACTAGGGAGGTCTCTGAAGCACCCAGGCCGGACAGCCTAGCCTACATGAGCTCCAGGCCACTGAGAGAGGCCCTGCCTCAAAAAGACAGCCGCTCATAAGTACCTGAGGTGTCCTCTGACACACAGACACACGCACACGCGCACACACACAATCTTTTGCTGAAAACAATTGGAAAGGAACATTTTGTTCATTTCTGTAAGAAGACATTGTTCTCAGATCGATCTACATATTCAAAACAGTTGCAGTCAAAATCCCAGGAAGCATTTTTTCTGCCTTGTTTAGAAATTCAAAAGTTGATTCTAAAATTTATAAAGAAATGCAAAAGACCTACAATTCATAGAATTCTTTAGACATAGCACACAAAAAAAGACAAAAACAACAACAAAAAAAACTTTAGGAAATAAGAAAAAGATTTAAGACTAACCTCACTTGATTTTAAGGCTTCATATAAATGATAGTAATCAAACCCCATGATACTGGTGTCATCAGATAAGTAGATCCATGGAACAGACTAGAACAGAGGATCTCAATGGTCCTGCTGCTTCACCCTTTAATACCCTCCTCGTGCTGGGTGACCCCAACCATAACATTATTTTCCTTGCTACTTCATAACTGTAACTCTGCTACTGTTACGAATCCTATGTAAATATCTGTTTTCCCGATGGTCTTAGGCGACCCCTGTCCTACCTACCCCCGAAGAGATTGTGACCTACAGGTTGAGAACCGCTGGAATAGAGGGTCCAGGAATAAACTGTGATATATGAAGCACCTGTTTTGAGAAGTAGCTAAAGACATCTTTTCAACAGAGAAATAGTCTTTTTAGATTTATTATTGTAAGAATTGAAGATCCAAAACCCAAAATGCAATACATATTTCCACTACATAAAAAATGGAGGAGTAGAGAGATGGTTCAGCAGTTAAGGGCATTGGCCGCTCTACCAGGGACTCTGAGTTGGGTTTTTACCACCTACTGGCAGCACACAATCACATGTAACTCTGGTTCCAGGCACTCTGGCACTCCCTTCTGGCCACTGTGAGCACTGGGCATGCAAGCAGTGCACAGACGTGCATGCAGGCTGGACACTGGTGTCATAGAATAAGTAGTGCACAGATGTGTGCACTGGACACCCGTGCCCATAGAATAAGTAGTGCACAGACGTGCATGCAGACTGGACATCTGTGTCATAGAATAAGTAGTGCACAGACGGGCATGCAGACTGGACATCTGTGTCATAGAATAAGTAGTGCACAGACGGTCATGCAGACTGGACACCCGTACTCATAGAATAAGCAGACACAATGGTTCTGTGGGTAAAGGTTCTTGCTACCAAGGCGGGGACACCCTGAGTTTAATTCCCTGAACCCACAAAGTAGAAGGAGAATACCAGCTCTTCTAAGTTGTCATTTTATCTCCACACATGCAACATGGCATGTGCATGCCCCCTCCCCAACTGAATAAATAAGTTTTAAAAAATGAACCATAAATGTAAATGTAAAAATTAAATGTGAAACTTAAGAGAAGGCAAGCAAGCCTTCTGTGACTTTGAGTAGGACAAAAATTTTCTTAACTTGGCACCAAAAACATGATCCATATAAAACAATAAAGTTCAGGGGTGGGGAGATGTCTGAGTGAGGACCTGAGTCCCAGGACCAGAACGCATGTTAAAAGCTAGGCGTTGAGGAGTGAAGGCAAGCTCCCATGGGCCCACTGGCCAGCCTGTTGAGTCAAGAGTGAGTTCCAGGTTCAGAGAGAGACTGTCTCATTTCAGCATGCCTGTACAGGCAAGCATACCTTATGTGCTTACACATAGACATAAAATTAGATAAATAAAACAGGAGATTTAAAGCTGACAAGAAGGCATACCAGATGCTGGGGTTGTGCATTGAGAATCCCAGCACTCTTGGGGAGAGATGCGAGGCAGGGATAGGAAAATCACCTGGAAGTCCACATGCCAGCCAGCTTGGAGAACACAGTCTAGCAGAAACATGATGAGAAACCACAGCAGCGAGAAAGGGAACCCCTGGAGGCTGTGCTCTGGCCTGTGCTCAGACATATGCACGGTAGTGATAACAAGTGATCTTATTAAAAACTGGGCGTGTAGGCCAGGTGTGATGGTATGCACCTCTAATCCTTGCACTCAGGAAGTAGAGCAGGTGGATCTCTGAGTCTGAAGTCAGCTTGGTCTACAGAGCAAGTTCCAGGACAACCAGGGCTCTGTAGAAAGACCCTTACTCAAAAAATCAAAATAAAATAAATTTAAAAATAAAAAACAGACATTTAAAAGATTACTTCGAAAGACACCATTGAATGTAATAAAAATATATGACAAGGGTTAGGAGAAAAATTTTTTCAGCCATGTGTGTAATGTAAATGTGTGTTATAAAGGACCTTCAAAACTTGATAGGAAATAACCTAGTTTTTTTAAATGGGCAAAAGATTTGAACATACCTTTTCATAGAAGATACATAATGGAAAAGAAGCGCATGAAAAGGTGCCCAGCGTCATTCCTCACTAGGGTAACCCAAGTTAAAACCTCAGTGAGATGCACACTTGCTAGAATGGCTGTGATGTGGGCAGACCCTATTGTAGATATAGTGTGTTTCCTGCTTTTTCACCTGCTGATGAGTTAGCCGTCTGTGTTCATCGCTCACTTTTCTTTTGTTTTGCTTTTGGAACTTTGAATGTCGCATGTAAAACTTTAACTTAGTGAATCTTTTGTTTTAATCTCCTATTTGGAATGCTGGTAAGGTATCTTTTGAAAATGAGCTCTGGCGTCTTAAATCCCAGCCTTATCCCCATCCCGTCTTCCTACTGCACGCCGTGGGAGGTGGCACCGCCCCTCAGGTGGCTTCGTGTTGGGTGCTTTCTGCTTAGCAGTCTGGTTTGTTCCATGGCAGGGTTTTAGCAGCTACAGAAGAAAGCAACAGAATGGAGCGGTCAAACCTAGGGAAGCTAGAGCTGCGTGTCCGGGAGCTGCAGCAGGAGCTGGAGCACCTGAGCAGAGACAAGCTAGCCTTGCACAGCGACATTGCCACAGTGCAGCAGCAGCTACAAGGTAAGGGTGGACTCTGCAGCCCACAGCCTGCCCGCAAGAGACGTGATGGATGCAGAATGGGGCATGGGATCGCTTTCTGAAGTTCAGTTACAGATTTGATTATACCACTCCATAGATATACCGTCTAAATCATAGACTTTAAGACACACATGATATGTGAATTTCATCTTAAGCTGTTTTTTTAATCTAATTTATGTTCCTTAGAGAACAGTTTAAAATTAGAAAAAATAATATATATAAAGTTACTTTGGGGCCAGTGAGGTGGCTCAGTAGGTAAAAAGCACTTGCCATAAAGCCTGACGACAACCTGTCCTTCAAGCTCACAATAAAAGGAAAGAATTGACTCCCAATGTTGACCTCTGCCCTCCACACTGATGCATGGCACATGCTCATACTCACACAGAGACACGCAATAAATTGACATCACCCCTCAGGTCATAACTGTGACGTGTGTGTGTGTGTGTGTGTGTGTGTGTGTGTGTGTGTGTGTGTGTGTGTGTGTGAGAGAGAGAGAGAGAGAGAGAGAGAGAGAGAGAGAGACTGAATGCAAGTAGTAAAAACATCTTTTATTACCAATGCTTCTGTTAATTTATTTAGGAGAAATGGCTAAGTATTTGTAGGTAATAATGTACTTGTTAAGCATGTATCATGTTCTAGTCATGATGTATGTACTGTCTCATCTTTCATCATATGACAAAACCAGATCTGGTGATACACACCTGTAAACTCAGCACTCAGTAAGTTGAGGCAGCAGGAACATAAGTTCAAACCCAACGGGGCTGCATAATGGAACACTGTCTCAAAAACAGAATCTTTGGAGCATTTGTGACATAGAAACCAGTGTTCTGTCTATTTACGGTGATAACACTAACAAGTTCTTGCAGTTTGCTCAAGATCACATGGCTAGCAGTGGATACCAATTTTATCTAGGATTGTCTTCAGGAAAGAGTCTGCGAGGGTTACATTTCCACAAGTAATGAACAGTATACCCATTCTGAACCGTGAATCTCACCAACATTATTATCTAACTGTTTACTCTTTAATATGGAAGACTTTGAAAACCCCTACCTGGGTTGTATGTGTAATTGTCTTTTGTCCTTTAATAAGATAGTGTGGCATCATCATTGATTTGACAGAAATAACTATAATTTCAGTTCTGATAAACTTTGAAAGGGGGATCAAATGGAAAACTATATGTATATGTGTAAGTAACATTTTATGAAATGTTTTTGTAGATAAACGGGAAGCCATAATCTCACTACAGAAGGAACTAGATAGTACCCAAGACCATTTGGACCTAGCAAAGCAGGTAAGTTTCACAAATATAATGGGCTTCTTACTGCTGGCACTATAGCACCACAGACCTCACACAGCACCACAGACCTCACACAGCACCACAGACCTCACACGGCACCACAGACCTCACAC